TAATCAACATCCGGACAAAAAAACTAAGGAACTTACCTCGTATAAACCATAGATCGCGGTACTATAATATCAAAGAACCCGTACCTGGTTCCCTCGAAGAGAGCCGTGTACTTTACATCCGCCACATATGAAAGCGTTGTATAAATTATAATCGGGTATGAATCAACAAACAACGATGGCAAGGCTCGAATCAAATGCATTGCCTTCACACCAAGTGCGGGGTTGGATAAATATATCTATCTATCCTTAAATACTAAGATCTTCCCCCTTGGGGTTGAATCTAGATGGCTTATTGACGCCGGAGAATCCTAACATTCTAAGCTGATTAATACACTACTCTAGCTTATCCTTCAAGTCGACAATCTCCCAGTCTTGCTTACTAAGCCTCAACATGTATTCTTCAGTATCGGTCCTCTCTTTAGCTTCTTCATCCTCATCCAGGTCATCGAGAATGGAAAGCGGGATCTCGCAATCGGCTAACAAATTTGAAGGATAGCGGATTGTTTCAAGTAAAACTTGACTTCATTGGTCCTTTTCCTCAGCAACTCTACTGCAGCGATAAAGTGTTCTATCCGGACTTGAATCTATTTCTCGACGAGGTTTAGAATGTGAAACTTCTCGAGAAACCAAGGTGACACCATGATTCCTTGACGGGTCTTTAAGGCGGCATTTTCCTTCTTCTGTTGAGCCATCTCCTCCCTTATGCTGCCCTCCAAGGACATAGAATTGTGGTAATCGAGGTCATATTGAAGGAGACGACATTGGTATTCTTCTTCTTTCTTTCTGAAATGTTGTACTAGTCGAGAATGTATCTGAACATTATAAGCTTGGACGGCATCCACAATATTCTTCTCGAGAGATCTCAACCCGGATAAGTTGTGAACATTCCCTACTTTTCTCATTGTTGAAGAAACCATGGCGTACATGGGGAAATTCTTGGCTTGGTTCTCATCTAGGATTATCAAGCGCACCTGATGAAGAAAGTACAATTCCTAGCATGAGCAGTGAAAATAAGTCAAGAACTTTCAGAAGAAAAGGAGTCATAATAGATAAAAAGCTGTGAAGAAATTGTTCAAAGTTACTCCAACAAATAGCACTACAAAAAAATGGATCCACAACCCAAAAGAAATCCTATTACAAAAGAGAAGTTCATACAGCACCCAGGTTTGGAGGATTGGATGGTTGATTTTTGTTGGTTTCCTCGACTGTTGTTCAAACCGGTTCATCTTTCTTCTTGACCTCTGGCTCCTTTTCTTCGTTGCCACCACCATCAACTTCCTCCGAGGAATCATCGTCAGAGACTAACTCGACTCTGATGAACTTGTCAGGAAGGTCTGGCGCTCGTGGTTCTTCACCAGGTTTGCCCATCAGGATAGTTGGGGCATCACCAGGAAAGGAAGCAATTTCCTCAGGAGAACCCATCTGGAGGATAGCGTTGCACAAAGCGTTGAACAGAGGAAGCTATTCAGTCGAGAGGTGCAGTAGTCCATTTTTCATCTGTTCATGCAGTGCCCGGCAAGGACCTTTCCTTATAAATTGCTTTAGCCAACCTGCATTAATAGTCCTGCCTGATTCCATTCGTTCGAGAGCAGCGACAGTTATGCCATGCCCATCCAATCTCTTGGCTGCCTCACTAATGCCCAAAATAACATTGGCCATTCCACCGGTCGGCAACATCCTCCACCAGAAAGCCACTAACCATCACTGCAAGTCTAACTTAGAAATGTTGGATTCCCCATATTCCCTCATTTTTTCCTCCAACACATTGTACCTTGCTTGCAGAGAGGCCAACTCCTCTTTCTTCGCGGCAAGTTCCAACTGCTCCTTCTTCCAAGCATCCTCTTGAGTCAATTTTTCATTCTCGATGAGCTTCCTCTCGAGCTCTGACCAGTTAAGCTCCTCTTGCAATTTCCTTTGGCGGAGCAAAAACTGATCATCGAGGTACTCATCTGTAAAGCTCAAATGTGATATTCAGAATGCAGAAATGTTATATGTTACATCTGTCAAAATATAGTCACACTTACCAGCTTTAGAGTGTCCTCCTCGGTCATAGCCACTGCGTTCTCCTCGAGAATGGAGCACTCGATCTGGGCATCCCCAAAGTGGTATATGGCAGCTGCAGCATTGTAACTCGAAGACTCGGGAGAATTCATGGTGCCCTCGACGGTGTCTTTTAGCTTCTCCAACGGAGGTTTTGGCACCGTGAACTATTCAAGATCAATCTCCATAGCAAGGTGACCCCCATGGGTCAAGCCTACAGGATTTTCTTTGGGCATCTCGACCACCGGGGGCGAAGATTCCTGAGGAGAACTTTCTGTTTCAAGCAAACTTTCCTTAGCGTACTGGTCATGCTTGTTTTTTCTTCCTAGCTTCTGCATCTGCTACTTTGACAAGTCTCTTAACTTTCCTTTTCTTCTTCCCCACTCTCGTCGAGGAGCTTTCGTCATCTGAATTTTTAACGTAAAAAATCTTGGAGTCACTAAACAATCCAACAGAGGTCTTGCTCGACGACATGACCTAAAACAAAAAAAGCAGTAAAAGGGGAGTTATTACCTTATTCTTCCTCGATAGGCATCGGAGGAATGTAATGCTGCACGTCGGTGCAAAGAATTAAGTTTTCATACTTCTCGATGGCATTGATCTCAGACCTATACATCTCAATTTTGGACTTATCTGTTTTGGTCCAGACATCTACAATAACGTCCAGCTTGTTCCTTTCTCGATAATCCCATGCTACGTAGAGATCCTCGGGAGCTTTCACGTATAGATACTCAGGTTTCTGCACTAGAGACCCATCAAAGAGCTTCACTATCTGTGATGCTTTTGATTTCAAGTTCCTCTTCACATTATACCAATCCCTAAACTTAGTCGAGGGAACACAGACTTTAAAGAAGTACCTCCACAAGAGTAATCGTGGCTTTACCTTCACTAACTCACACAATCTCACGTATCCGAGAACAACGGTTATCAAATTCAGGGTAAATCGAGCGAGTGGGATCTTAAAGTGCTGGACTATTACTCTAAACAAAGGGAAAAGGGGGAACCTAAGTCCTAGAAATATGAATCTATCATAAACAGTGATTTTTCCATCTGGTGGAGTATTTTCCCTTTCATTTCCTATGGGGGCTTGATGTTCTAGATCTACGGGCAAATTGTATTTCTCAGCTACTACCCTAGCTTTTTGGGTGGAATCTAAGGTGGATGCGAAGTTAGATACAGTTCTTTCAGCCATGTCTACCACAATATATGCAACAACAACCAGATTCATGCAAAGAAAAACAGATTCAAAAATACAGAAGTTGAGGACTCACTTTAATCAGGTTCTGGGATTGACCTTTTGAATTATATCCGCACAGGATGAAGAATCTCCTCGACTGTAGCACGATTGGGTTCTTTCGGTGACGAATGCGCGCGAGCAGTTCCGGCAGAAATTGGTATTGAGAGCGGCGAAGAAAACAGAAAGCTTTGGGGAATTTTTCGCTGTGTATTTTTTGGAAGGCGAAATTAGTAGGAAAAGGCTCTGGGACTTTTTTCGTTAATAAAGACAGTCCCTCTCCCCCATGACTTGACGGTTTAGGCAAAGTTCAAGAGGCAGCAATGATAACACGGCTGTCGCTGGGGAAACGTGCACATTGTCGGGGCACGATTTCAGTTTTGGCGGGATTCTGAAGCGTGTTTCCTTCTCGGTTCGGATCTCAACCCGCGGGCAATTCACCTGGTCCATATCATGTAGATTGGGCTGAGACTTGTCCATTAAACTAGGGCCGAGTCCATATCAGTTTTATTTAGTGTCAAATTTTGTTTATTTCATACAACTAACACTTGACAGGGGCACTTGACGAGTCTATATCCACCAAGGATTACCGGACCGGCCTATCTGCCAATTAGGGCCTAACCGACCTTACAGAGGCGCTTCGGGAATAAGAACCCTAGTAGGATTCGGCTCCCCTTAAGGTAATTCCATGCCTATAAATAGGCTTGATCTCACCACAATAGAGGTATGCTATCTTTAGCTCCAATAATCACGCACACACTTCTTGATAACCCTATTTTCTATCTTAAGCATCGGAGTGTCTACCCTCAGGAGACTCCGAGGTCCTATTTTGCAGGAAACTCTACCGGAGTTCCACTGTTAAGACGGGGATACAATTGCAGGTTTCGTCAAGCAGCAGAACTTCCTTCATTGTTTTCATATGCCCTCTTTATGATTGGATTGAACACGGCTTCCAACTCTGCCATCTTCTCATTATAATCTACCTTCTGTGCATTCTGATTCTCAACCCATTGTCAAGTGATATTTCTAGCGCATAGGCCAGAAAATAATATCTCACTGATTTTAATCAAAGAAGAAGTCTTAAAAGGTCTCGTTAATCAGAGATGGAGACAACTGCTTTGGTTCCTAGTGATTTGTTAGCCTCAATTCATCGGGTTGTTGTTGCTTTGTTTGCGTCAATTTTTCGGTGAAAGGTATCTTAATGATATTATTAGTAATTCCCATGGGTTGTAGCTATTTATAATTATTCTCCTACACATTTGTGTTAATGTGATCTCAACATATAGAAATTTCATATTTTCCCTTGAATTCTATCAATTGAAATGAACGAGACTACAGATGCTGAATTCCAGCAAAAAGTGTATTATTAAGCTTGGAATGAAATCGTTGAATTCAAACTAAATATCTAGTTCTTCGCCGACGGCATCTAGTTGTTTCCTCGAGATCTATATTGATTATGTTTGGAAAATTAGAAGCACACACAACATAAAATTCTAAGTCCACATTTCAAATTCCCAGTTCTGACTTCTGACTTCTGACTTCTGTGACTTCATTAGTCACAGACAATAATTTCTGTATCCTTATATTACAATTTCATCCCTTTTAAAAGTAAATAAATGCCGGATGTTTTTACATTTTTTCAATCAGCAATCCCAAAAGCCATTTTGTTTTTTTATCTCAAAAACATAAATCTGGTTTGCATTTTTTTTTTTTTTTACCAGCATCCATGGAGAAGGAGATGGTTGCAGATAAAGGAGAAAATGAGCACGACATTGTGATCGTTGGCCCGGAATTGGCGGCCTTGCTACTGCACTTGCTCTTCACTGGTCCGGCCCTTCTTCTTCTCATCTTAACTCTTTTCTACAACCAAATAACCGAAGACATTCTGTACGTTGAAATAAAACAGTACAACAAACAAGACTCTTTCTTTGGGATAGTAGGAGTGCTAAAAATGTTGCACGAATGAATAAGTTGATCCTTGGATTTTCTTGTGAAAACATGGATGCAAATGTTACATACTGTAGAAGATAGTCATATGATGAAAAGTGATTTTGATTATTATACAATTAATCAACTGTTCTTGAGAAAGATAAATTCCCCTTAGAGACCATTAATAATGATCAATCAAACATGTAACATTTTGTTTTGTTTTGTTTTGTCTTGTTTTATTTTGTTCTGTTCCATTGCAGGAAAGGGTTCAAAGATGTGGTAGTTTATGAAAGTTCAGAGAGACTGCGAGTTGAGGGAACCGCGATGCGGGTAAGTATGAACGGATGGCGGGCTCTTGATCAACTCGGTGTTGGACCTCAGCTCAGGAACAAGGCTATTCTTCTTCATGGGTATTGTTTGTTTGTTATCTAATTAATTTCCAAACCCTGATAAAAGTTAAGAATATGTACTCAACAGGATATGTGATCATTACTTCAAAGATTGACCTAATCAACTTCGTTACGTTCGTGCTCATTATATGAATTCTACACAGAGAAGAAGATGTATGGATTGACCGAGGAAGGAGAGCGAATGTGCCGATGTAAGTTCATGTTTTCCTTCTTTAACTATTACTAGTGTTTTCTTAAAAAAAAAAAATAAAAAAAAAAAACTATTACTGTTGTTTATCCCGTGCGCTGTACACGAAATACACGAGAGGGTAAAATGTATTCGGTAAGGACATGAGTGATTTATGGTCGTTAAATACTACTATTATCTCTGCCCCGAAAGATATTAAACATTAAGTTTTTAAATTTACACTGATTTTCGTACAAATCTCATAACTTAGTATGGACTATCTCTTGGAACGGAGGGAGCAATAAAGTTTAATATAGTTTAACTATTATAGCACGATCAAATTTAAAAATATAAAAAAAAAATCCAAGAGTTTAACTGTTAAGTTTTAAAAAAAAATGAAAAATTTGAAAAATTTTAACTAATAAAATATTCACTAATCATTACTTCCTCCGTCCCACAAAAATAATCCACATTGAGTTTTGAGTTATGTACTATTTTTAGTACAAATTTGAAAAATCAATGTGCACTATTTTTTTGGAACGGATGTAGTATTAAATATGAAATAGTCAGTAAAATTTGAGATATTACTAAAATATGAAAGAAGATTAAAATTTAAAAAATGATCACATTATTTTTTGGTTTGGTCCGTCGTAAATTTTATAAGTTATTTTCTTAATAGACATACTTAAATTTCAGAACTAAATAGATTTTAAAAAAGTTGTGATCCATTTTTACCTTTAGAAAAGCTAACTACATCTTATCAACTTCTCAAATTTAATTAATATTTAACAGAAAAAATCGTGAATAAGTGATTCTTCAATCCAGTGTAACATTCGAAAAAAAAACTATGGCCAAAATTATTACCAAACCATTGTCGGTAATATTTTTTGGTACTATGCACAGGTACTCCACATCCATTGAGTGTGCTTGCATTGAATATAAATCCATATTGAATTAAAAAAAAATCTGTATGAAACCAACCCCTTGAATAAAAAAAACACTAAGAAAGGAACAAAAGCTTTTAAGGAAAATGAAAAATAGAGACATACCTGATTGTTTTGAACCTTTTATTGTCATGAAGTTTAAATAGGCCAATGTTTAACAAATCCCGTATAAGATTTATGACATGAGTAATCTATAGGATAACCTAGACTCTATTTGAGTTTTCATTATCAGATTACTTATTTCAAAAGGTTGTTGCAGAAAGTTAAAATAAAGTTATCTTCTATGGTTATGATGCACTGTAATCACGATTAAATCTATTTTCTTACTTTCAACTTAAATGAGCTTCCAATTTCATGCCAAGTAAGTAATTTTCATCATGTATTATAAGATCAATTGACTACTAAAAGATAGCAAATTAAAAAATACACGTATTTGTCTTTGTCGTGAAATTCAATGATTGCTTATATAGTTTCGCAATTGGCAAAAAAATAAATAAATAATTATTATTATTAAAAAGGAATCAAAATAGTATTAACCAAATTTATAGAAATTCATCGTTGTGAACTAATTACATTAGCACCTTTTCATGTTTCAAATAATTATCTAATTTTTATATTATTTTTATTACAACGAACAAAATAATCATTTTAGACTAGATTCAGTAAAATTTATGTTCCGTAACGTACCTATAAATTATAGAAAATCAAGGAGGAAAGACTTGTCTTTGCAGATTTTTTTTTTAGGTTTTTTGGCTTTTTGTTAGAATGATAAATTATTAATTTTTATGTTTATTTCAACTTGATTTTTTATTCTTCATTTTCTTTATTTTAATTTTTTTTATAATCTATCAAATAAAAAGGTAAATTAATTATTAATATTTAATAATAATACTAGTATCAGTATATACAAGTCGGGAAATATGAGAAAATGAATCTCAAAAAATGAAAAATAAAGAAATAAAATTACAAATAAAATAAAATGATGAAATTACCCCTAGACCCAACTCACGTGTGTTGGACATGAAAAATAGAGTTTGAAAATAAATAATTATTTTCTTAAAGATCATATAGTATATTTTGATCGTTATGAAAAATAGTAAAGAGAAATAAAATGGAATAGAAATAAAAATGGATTGTTTTGTCATTTTTATATTTTTTTTGGTTTATTTTATAATTTTTAAAACTATCGTGGTATTTTTGGTTAAAAAATAACGGAAATCCATTAAGTTTAATGAAAATTGGCCAATCTGGTGGAATTGACAAAAGTTTCAAATAGTAAAGACAAAATTGGTTAATCGAAAATTAATGGGATAGAATTGACAATTAGCCCAAAGATTTGGGTATGAACGCCATTTTTTCCCACCATCAGGTCTGAGTAAATATATGATCTTGGGTTTGCATTTCAAATTAAGTATCAGCTAAAGAGTTGATAAGTAAATATATTGATGTAAGGTACAACTTAAATCTCCAAAAAAGTAATCTCGTGAGGCTGTGTTGAATTACATTGGTTAGGCATACTCCACATAATGGTTGTAAAAGCTGAATTCACTTTTGTATACGTATCTATACCAATCCAAAGCATTTTGGCAGAAATGGTGAAGTTCGTTGTTTGAAAAGGAGAGACGTGATAGAGGCTCTTGCTGATGCTCTACCGCCTAAAACCATACGATTTGGATGCAAAGCGATCGCTGTGGAGACGGATCCTCAAAGTATGTCCCCTGTCCTTCAACTTACTGATGGAAGGGTTGTTCGAGCTAAGGTACTTTAGTTACCTTCTTGATCCATTTTTCAAATCTTAAAATGGAGGGAATATAAAGAAGATGATGATATGGAAAATGTTATTAAGTTATAGTACTCACTAGCCAGAATTCTTTTTCACAGGTTCTGATTGGATGTGATGGCTTATATTCCAAAGTGGCAAATTACCTTGGATTGAAACCTCCATCAGTACTTGGTGTTGGTTGTGTCAGAGGCCTGACGAACTACCCAAATGGTCATTGCTTTCTTTCTGTATCAATCCGAATGAAGAGAGATCAAGGTGTCGTCAATTTGATTGGACGAATTCCTATCAATGATAAGTTGGTGTATTGGTTTGTTGGTCTTAAAATGTCTCAGCTCGGTAATCATACTACCCTTTTAACACTTTTTGCTTCTTGTTTTTTTTCTTCATAAATGAAGCGTATTCACCCCTATCAATCCTCTACTTGTGATTGTTTTGAATCAAATCCATTCTTCAACTAGTACCAAATTTGTCAAATGTGTTATAGAGTTATCCTTTTTCCTAAAACTACAAAAGAACAAAAAAAAAAAAGGTTGAAGAGTTGGAATGCCTATTTTTTTCATTCTTGATCATCTACAAATATGTTGCAGATGAGAAATATCCAAATGATCCAGAGCTTGTCAAACAGGAAACCTTGAAACACGTAACGGGTTTTCCACCTGATGCAATAGAGATGATAGCAAAAAGTAATGTAGACTCGGTTTCATTTGCACACTTGAGATATCGCCTTCAATGGGAGATACTTATGGGAAAGTTTTACAAAGGATCAGTGACTGTACTGGGGGATGCAATGCATGCAATAGGGTCATTTTTGGGACAAGGCGGTTCAGCAGCCTTAGAAGATGCAATGGTTCTTGCAAGGAATATGGGACAAAAGGTTCTTTGTTTGGGTCAATCTGATGAAGGGGGGCAACAAATTATGAACCCGGAAAGGATTGAAGCAGCGTTTGATCAATATGTCAAAGAGCGAAGGAACAAAATCCTGCGATTATCATTGCAAACGCACCTAATTGGTGTGATTCTGGGAAGCACATCATCCGTGGCCAAATTTATCGCAGTTTTCATATTGCTCACCGTGTTTAGAGATGAAAGTGCGCATTCTAAATATGATTGTGGCAAACTCTGAAAAGACTATCAAGAAAACATAACTACAATGTCCATGTGTCACATGGCATGGATGTCTATCTTCACTTTCAGATATCTACTAGTAATTCTGGACTTTGATTCTCTTGTAATGTGTGCAATAAATGTATAATGGAGAAAACGAGCTCAGTAGAGTTCAAAAACATCATTAAGATTGATGATTAAGTCAATACTGTCTTTATACTTGTGGAACTTCTCTTGGCAACTCTAATGAAGATGGTGCAACTTCTTGTTTATGATAATGTCTGACAAGATCAACAATACTTCTTTTCAATTCTCCAGGATCATGTTTATGTTTTCATATCAAGTTTTTCTTATTTTGGGATTGCGCATACAACTGAAAGTATCAAGTTTCTGTTTATATAAAAGTATCTACTTTGTAGAACTGAAATAATAAAACAAAGTTGATTACAGTTTGCGGTTGAGAATATGTATGTATGTATGTATGTATGTATATGTACATATCCTATTATATTAGAAACAAAAACCTCCCTTTCAAACACTTCATATGATTGCCACGTGGCATATAGAAAGTACTAAATTGCCCTTTTGTCTAACCATAACAAAATTACTAAATCTCCCTTTGCACTTTATGTGACATTTTTTTTTTATTTTTTCTTTACATTTCATTCAACTAGAGTAGTTTTTTAAATTAAATTGATCAATTAGGTTTTTTGTTACAAAGTGTCAATTTTGTTTTAAGCGTATACCCTTCGGATGAAACTTATTGCAAAGCTATTAAAAATCTCCAAAACTAAGTATTGATTTGGCACGACCAATGGAGAACATCAATAAATCATCTTACTAATATTTAAATTTATTAGGATGCTTTTATATTTTATCTAATATTTACTTCAACACATATATTCGATTAAGGCTATTTATATTTAATAAGTAACACTTATAAAATAGTTCTAAAACATACATGGCGAAATACAATTTTTTTTTTTTTTGCGAAATACAAATATTTCTATGATCACACTTATAAAACATTTCTAAATCCTTCAAATATTTCTAAAATATATCGCTCCAAATACAAAATTTTATTTTTTTTCAAATATAAACATTTCTAAGATCTACAGATAGACTGGGCCAGGGTCGCGCATTGCGCGACCAGACATCACTAGTATATATATATGTATATGTATATATATTGAGAATTTAACTATATTATATTATAAAGGAAAAAACAGAGAGAAAAACTGGTTGAGCTTTCCAAGAGTGCCACATAAAATAAAATCCTATGTGCCATTATTTCTAGAATCCAAAAAGAAAAAACTTTGTGTATTATCAAACAAAGTCCTCATAAATTTAATTAACACAAATTAAGTAAAATATAATTTCTTATTACTATATTCTCCAGAAACTAATGGAGATGGGATTAGGAAAATATCAACAACCAAAAATTTGTCAGAATTTATCCAAACCTCTATGTGCAAAATTCACAATTAGAGGCAAGCTACAACGGGTTGAGTATGAGAGATTGCCGAATATTTGTTTCCATTGTGGACGAGGTATGGTCATTCTATATCATCATGTCCTGAACGCCCAACTACTTGCCCACCAGAGAATAGAAGTAGTGAAGGTAATAACGGCAATTTGGTGGCAGAAAAGTGGGACATGGCAGCGAAGGATAAAGACACGGTGATGGAGGAGGGTAACTACGGCCCTTGGATGGAGGCGCAAATTAAAGAAAGGTCGTGGTTTGGGAGAAATAAGATAGGTCTCAGTAAGCCCACAAAAAGAAATGATTCTATTGGTGTAACAGGATCTGGATTTGATATGTTGGGAAAGATGTCTGAGGATGAGACAATAGTGCACCAAAGTACATCTCATCCAATAAGCTTAGAGAAAAGTACTTTCAACCTTGGCATAACTTATAATGGTACAAAAAAATGCGAGATCGAGGGAGGAACGTGTAAGGGGAAATCAGGGGATGAGCCAGGAATGTGAAGGGGTGCACAGAAGGGTAAAGGAAAAGAGAATATAGCATCTAATTCTGGTCCAAAGGTAGTTCGAAATAGCGATGGAATGGTTTTTGGGTTTGGCCAAATTGTTCCTGTGGGGAAAGAAACTAGGTCTGACCCATTGAAACACCAAAATGTCACTCCAATGAAAACAGGACTTGATCAAAAAAAAAATCTAAGCTGTGATAATTATGGACAATCCAATTCAAACTCTCAGAGGTCAAGGTAGGCCAAATGAGTTTGATCCTAGAGAAGACCGAATGATAGATGGCAACTTTTGTGGCCTGCTCGAGGATGAAGCCATGAATGAGGTGGTGGCGTTGGGATCTACATTCCAAAGTAACATGTGAGGATTAGTACTCTCAGCATACTAAATTGTTTACACAAAAAGAAATCATTTTCTCTTTCTTCTCTCTCTCGGTGCACAACCTATGTGCGCCTGCCATGGCGGGCAAGAAGAAGAAAGGGAAAGCGTTGATTACAAAGGACAATTCGGATTTGTGTTCAGTGGGGATGCTAGTAAGATTGACCGGCTCAATTTAGGAGAAAACTCAAAGAAACTGGGATCTGGTTGGAAGACGGGCAATCGACAAGAAGAAGAGCTTAATCAGTTGGTGGCAGAAATTGAATCTTTTACATCAAAGAAGTCTAGATCTGGTAAATTGAAGCAAGTGGTAACACCGAATGATGGTTGCGTCGCTGATCCTATTGAGCGATTTAGTGATGGCAGTCTGAATGGTGCCATTCAAGACGCTGCTAAACCTTGGGTTTGGGTTAATAATACCAGAAGGCAACTTCAATGGTCCGATCGAGTTGAGAATCAGTCAGAAGTTAAAGATTGGGCAAATTTTGATCTTGAAAAAAAGAGACCTCCAACGGGGAAACTGAATTTTGTTCCTCCTAAGATACAGGACGAGATGAAAATCAGTAAGATCAAGGCTGAAGATGTGGTAACGGAGGAGGAGTATTGAGCGTCACCAATTGTGTGTTTCGTGCTGGGATCTCACCCTCCGTATTGGGTAATGAATGACTTCGTTCGAAAGAGATGGGGCAGATTCGGCATTGATAAGGTAATACTGCTTCCTAGTGGTTTATTTGTTGTTTGTTTTTCGACTTTACAAGCTAGAGAGGAAGTTCTTCGTATTAATATTCACCAATTTGGAAGTAAGCCATTGATTGTTAAGCCATGGAATGTTAAAATGGGGTTAAACTATAGGGAGGTGTATAGAGTTCCTGTTTGGGTTCAAATGCATGGATTAGAGTTAAAGTTCTTGAATCTATCTTCTCTGAGTATTTTGGCTAAGTGTTTGGGAGCTCCTTTATTGGCAGATGAGTATACTAGGGCTAAAACCAGGGTACAATATGCTCGTTTATTGAGAGAGATGGAAATTTCAGATAGTGTACCTGATAAAGTTGTTTTCGAAGATGAGAAGGGGCAGGCAAGAATCCAGAAAGTTGTATATAAGTGGCTTCCTGTTAGGTGTGCTAAATGTCAGGGATATGGTCATGCTTCTGATTCATGGAGGAAAGAGTTGAATGAGGTTGTTAAGAAACCAAGAATTATTCAGAGTGCATGGAGGAAAGTTGCGAAAGAAAGAGTGGTTGTGGATCAAACTGGTACTGCTGAGGTGATTGTAGCTACTAAGGAAAGTTCTGTGGAGGTTCTTCCAAGAGTGAAGCCCCGAAAAGAGCTTGTATTAGTTAATCATCATAGGAATACTGGGAATACAGTTGATAAGCGAAAGGAAATTGAGTTTAAAACTAGAGTAACTAATATCACCCCTGATACTAAGGTGGTAGTTGCTAGTATGTCTCCTCAGGGGATAACTAAAAAAACTACTAATGTGTTAGGTGATATTAGTCACACAGTAAAACCTGGTGGCATTGGAAGAGGGATAGTGGTTGATCCGGGTCCCTGTCATCATGTGTAGCATCATCATGTGGAACATAAGTGGTTTGAACTCTCCCCTGAAACAAAGAGAGTTAAGAAGGATGGTGGATATGGACAAGTTTAATATGATAACAATTGTAGAAACCAAGATGGTGATGGCAAGAAGTGAATCTTATGTTCAGCAATATTGGCAGGGTTGGAACTGGCTACTAGTGCAGGAATTGGAACTGGCTACTAGTCACGAAAGGGGTAGGATATTTATATTCTGAGATGATAGTATACTAGTGCAGGAATTGGAACAATCTGATCAATTCCTACATTGTGTATGTACTCTCAAAAAAGATAACATTAAGTTCTTTTATACAAGTATATATGCATCTAATGATCATATTGAGAGGGAGATATTATGGTCTGATCTGGTGGGACTAGCTGGACAGGTACAGGGTCCTTGGTTAATCATGGGTGATTTTAACAATATTCTTAAACCAGATGAGAAACTAGGGGGAAGGAAAGTGGAATTGCAGGATTATGCAGCTTTTCAGTGGTGTCTGGATGAATGTGGCGTAAATGATTTAAGAAAGGTTGGACAGAAGTTTACTTGGTGCAATCAAAGGTTGGGGGCTGACAGGGTCTATTCCAAGTTTGACAAGGCAGTAGTTAATGGAGACTGGATTGACCAGTATTCGGATTCTACTGTCTCTGTTAAACAGGAAGGTCTCTCTGATCATACACCTCTGGTTGTTCAACTGTTTCCTGGAGTGCAGACTTCAAATATTTTAATATGTGGAGTCAATCCTCTCTTTTTATGGATATAGTAGGTAGAAGTTGGTCTGATGAGGTCAAGGGAACAAAGATGTTTCAATTGTGCTCTACGTTGAAAAGGTTAAAACCAAGTTTGAAAGCACAGAACAGGTCCCAGTTTAGTAATATTGCTAAAAGAGCAACTAAAGATCAGGCAGTAATGACTGAACTGCAAGAAGCTCTAAGTTATGATCCTACAAATGTGGAGTTACAGAAAAAGGTTAAGGAGGCAGTACACAATTACATCCAATCTTCCAAAGCGGTCAATTGTTTTATGCAGCAAAAAGCAAAGGAACAATGGACTGTTGAGGGAGACGAAAATACCAGATATTTTCATTAAAAGTTGAAAGTTCGGGCTATGAGAAATCGGATTTGGCTGGTGGTTGATGATGATGGCAAGGAGATTACAGAATGGGATGGCATTGAGCAGCATTTCTTAGGGTATTATCAGAACCTGCTGGGGCAAGAATCTGATAGGAAGGCTGTTGATGAAGAAGTTTTTAGATGAGGAAATGTGTTGAGTGTTGATGATCAGATCAGGCTCATTAAACCTGTGAGAAGAGAGGAAGTGAAAGTAGCTTTGTGAGAGATGAATATTAACAAGAGTTTGGGATCGGATGGTTACGGAGCAAGTTTTTTCAAAGCTGCTTGGAAGAACGTGGGACGAGACCTAACTGATGTAATTATGGAATTTTTCTCATTAGGTCAGATCTTCAACCAGTTAAATGCTACTGTTTTAGCTCTAATACCTAAAGTTGATAGTCCCATGAATGCTAGTCAGTTTCGTCCTATAGCATGTTGTAATGTTGTATACAAATGCATATCAAAAATTCTTAGTAATAGACTAAAAGAGGTTTTCCCCCTTTTAGTAGATTTGAATCAGAATGCATTTGTAAAAGGTAGATCCATATTGCATAATGTGTTGCTCACACAAGAACTTATAAGATTGTATCGTAGAAAAGGTATTAGTGGCAGACTTATGAAGAAAATCGATTTAAGAAAGGCCTATGTGCGGAATGGGGTTGTATTGAGGAAATTCTGATAGGGTATGTCTTCCCGCAATTCAAGATTTGGTTACTGGCCTGTGTCAAATCTCCCAGGTTTTCGTTATCGTTGAATGGTGATTTAGCTAGTTTTTTCAAAGGGAAGAGAGGATTACGTCAAGGAGATCCTGTTTCTCCTCTTCTGTTTGTTTTAGTTATGGAATATCTCACTAGAAGTCTTAAGAAAGTTGCTGAGCTTGATTTCAAATTCCATCCTAAATGTAAGCAGTTGAGAATGACCAACATCTGCTTTGCTGACAATTTAATGATTTTTTGTAAAGCGGATATTGGGTCTGGTAGAAAGGTGATGGTAGTTTTTGATGAATGCTCGAAAACAACAGGGTTGGTAGCAAATTTTCAGAAGTCTTTGGTTTATTTTGGAGGGGTAAATGAAAAGTTGCAGCACAAAATTTGTCAGATTACTAACTTCTCTTTTGGCGCATTCCCTATGAAGTACTTAGGTGTTTCCTTTTTGCCTAAGAAATGGTCACAAGTTGAGTGCTAAGAAATAGTTAATAAAATAGTGGCTAGGATTAAATTTTGGAGTACAAGACATTTATCCTATGCGGGGAGATTGCTATTGATTAATTCTGTATTGATGTTGATGCATACTTATTGGGGCTCGCTGTTTATTCTGCCACGAAGCGTGACAAGCATGTTGAATAGGATATGTAGAGAATTTTTGTGGGGAGTAAAGTCTAATGGCAGAGCTACCTCTTTAGTAAGTTGGGATGAGGTGTGTAAAAGTAAGAGAGAAGGAGGGTTGGGTATTAAAGATGCTCATCTGTGGAATAAAACAGCTTTAGTGAAGCAGATATGGCAAATAGCTTTGAAAATAGGATTCTCTTTGGGTGCGATGGATACATGGCATCTATATGAAGGAGTCTTGGTGGGATCTACAGTTTAAATTTGATTCAAGTTGGCAATGGAAACAACTCTTGAAGCTTCAAGATCAGGTAAAAGATGGGTTTGAAGGGGATAAATGGGAAGCTCATAAATATGGGAGATATACAGTTGCTTCTGGGTATCGCTGGTTTGCGGGATATGGACAAATATCTAGTTCAACAAAGTGTATTTGGGCAGGTCTGTCTGTGCCTAAACATCAGTTTATCTCTTGGTTGGTGTGGAGGAAGAGGTTATGAACGAACAAAAGGCTGGAATCAATGCATGTGCCAGTTGATGATGTTATGTGTGTACTCTGCAAACAGTAACCTGAAACAATTGAGCACCTGTTATTCCATTGTTTGTTTGCAAAGGAGGTGTTGAATTCAATCAGAGTGTGGTTAGGTTGCAGAAACTTTTCGCCTGATGAAAGCAGATGGAGAGTTCAGTTGACTAAGTACTAGAAAGGAGCAAAGCAGATACTGTTTACTACTGTTAATGCTTTTGTATCACATTTGGGAGGAACGGGCTGGCAATGGATGTGCTAAAGGTCATCAAACAGGAACTGAAGATCAGACTCCAGAGCAGGAACAGACGGAAGAAAAAGGGACTAGAAGAGACGCTTATGCAGCAACTGTTTCCATGATTTCTGTTTTTATATGTCTAATGTTACGACTGTAGTGTGCTTGATAGAAGTAGCTTGAGAGTATTGGTTTTGTTGAAATATAGTTTGATTGGAAAAGTTGTACATAACGCTGCATTTTTGGTGCATTTGTAAATAAAATTTACCTTTTCACTAAAAAAAAAGATTTATTCTCTCTTTTGCCTTCTGTTTCATTATGAATAAAGTCGATTGCAAGTATCAAGGGGTTGGCTCGAACGTAGGTTATCAAGAGTTGCATCCACTGTTAAATATGAGCTATGTCAGGTCATCTCAACCGAGTCGGGATTCGAATATGATAAGCTCTCTATGTTGCAGGTTATAGTATTTCAATTTATTAGGATTTTGTCTTTTAAGATCATTTATTGTTGTACGTACATGTATGCTAGCTTAGGCCTTATTTGTCCAACCTCTTGTTTTATTTTTTGTTTCATTTTACCTCTTAAGCACAAAACTCAATACACTATCCAAACAACATTTTCATTTACCTTTTAAAATGTTCGTTTAGTTATACTATTATAAAATATTCATTTTGGTCACTGAACTATTGTAAAGTCTTTATTGTATTTGGTCACTGAACTATTGTAAAGTCCTGCATTTAGTCACTAAACTATTGTAAAGTCATGCGTTTGATCATTGCATTATTGTAAAGTCTTCATTTTGGTCACTGAACTATTCTAATTTCATAAATGGTCACTATACTATAATACTTTTTCAAATCAAAAACTAAACTACATTTTAAATCTCCTCCCAAATTCAAATAAAAAAGTAATACAAAATGTTGCCCAAACACTACCTTAGTAATTTAGGCCTTTTGGCCTCCTTCATTGTACCCAAAAAAAAATGTCAGAAAATAAATCAACTCAAAGAGCAACAACCAACAATCATCATCCACATTCTCAATTTGTGCCAAATGAAATTTAATTTGTTTAGGGTCTAGATTCTTTTAGATCGCTATAAATATATAGTATGACCTCTACTTTCATCACCACAAGGTACATTCTCACAATCTACACAATATATAATTTGATATGATAAGCAATATTTATACTTTTGTATTTATAAGGAGTTCTTATCATTTCACATTTTTGTCTAGATAATCACAACTCATTAACATCATTTGTGCTTGTAATATTTTTATTTTATTTTTATAATTTTACTATATTGTGTTGTGATAAATCCCATGCATCGTTCGGGTTTAAGATCTAGTGTATATATATACATACTTTGTATTTATAAGGAGTTCTTATCATTTCACATTTTTGTCTAGATAATCACAACTCATTAACATCATTTGTGCTTGTAACATTTTTATTTTATTTTTATAATTTTACTATATTGTGTTGTGATAAATCCCATGCATCGTTCGGGTTTAAGATCTAGTATATATATATCTTACTATATTAGAAACAAAAACCACACTTAAGAGAAAGCACAACCATTTGCCATGTGGCATTTTCACATCATATTTTTAAAATAAATCTTTATTTTCACATCTCCTAGACTTAAAAGGCAAATGCAGTCCAAATCCACCTCCACCTCCTATTTTTGCCAAAACAAAAAAAAAAAAGACGGGTTCATAAAAAACCCAAATCCTCATCTCCATCTCCATGACAATCGACGCTCTAATCAATCCCTTCTCCACAATAAAAAATAAATAAATAATAAATTCCTCATCAATCATCAATTGAGAATATGTGGTGAAATATACTCATTTTCCATTAGTATGTTCAATCTTTTTATTAGTGATGATCAACTACAACCTGATCAGATAAAATTTCGACTTCAAAAAATATTCTCTTTACCTTTCTATATAAACAGAAAGGAAAAAAAAATTCTCATTGATCTTGCTTCGGCCGTTGTGGTGGTGCAATTACAGGTATTAAAATTTAAATGATTTTATTTCCACAGATCATTTGTTTGGCTTTTATTATTTTTTGTTTTTCATGTTCAAGAATAGTGTTATTACTATTATTTTTATGCGTCCATCCGTTACAGCTACCGTAGCCGTTGTCAGGTAATATGATGTGATTTCTTATATAGTTAGTTAGCCTAGAAGTTTTGTATGATTTTAGTTCTATTTGGATTGAATTGATTAATTGAATTTTTGTTACAAAGTGTGGTTTTTTAAATTTCTTTTTAATGTTTCATTCAATTAGAGTGGTTTTCTTTTTTTAATTGTGGAGTCTCAATTTTTTTTTCGTATATGGTCAGTTACGAAGTGTATTTTTTCTTTGTTTAATTGTTTTTTATTTTGTTTCATACTCTCAGTTGACCAATTATTATTATTATTATTTTATTTTATTTGCAAATAAAGCGCTCTTTTTGTGTTCGGGCTTTCAAGAATATACTTTTTGAATTTTGGTTTTTGGACTTTTTTTAGTTTCTCATCATCTAAATAGTTCAGGTCACTTCTTCTAACTGATTTCTGAGGAAGCCTTTTATGAATTTGAGGCGGAGAGGGAAAGAATGATGTTTCTATGTTTATTTGTATTTTTATACAACATTTTTACCTACAGGAAAAAAATAAATTTCTCAATTTTAAATGGGCTATCTTTTACTTTCTTTTTTTCTTATTTGTCATGGTGAGGTGAGTTCTTTTTTTGTATAACTTGAAACCTATGCAAATTTACATTATTTTCATTCTCATATTTGTGATCAACCAATTTCATCAATTAACCAGTTTCAAAATCATATTTTTGATATTTTACTACTTATAAACTTTTGGAAGAAATAGTTTCAACAATTAAGCGTATACCCTTGGGAGGAAGCTTACTACAAAGCTATTATAAATCTCCAAAACTAAGTATTGATTTGGCACAACTAGAAAACATCAATAAATTATCTTAATATTTAAACTTATTAGGATGCTTTTATATTTTGTCTAGCATTTAATTCGAGACATATATTTGATCAAGTTTATTTATATTTAAAAAGTAACACTTGTAAAACATTTCTAAAACGTACCGGGTCAAATACAATTTCTTTTTATGTCAAGTACAAACATTTCTATGATCACACTTATAAAACATTTCTAAATTTTTCAAACATTTTTAAAATATATCGGGCCAAATACAAAAATTTTTTTCCAAATACAAACATTTCTAAGATGTACGGATATATTGGGCCAGGGTCACGTATTGCGCGACCAGACATCACTAGTACATATATAAAGCAAAAGCAACTACCAAATCAACCGAGTTTAGAGATAATGCCTACACTCCACAGCAGTAAAACCAAGAGGTTTTGTTTTGGATTCAATGAGTACATCACGAAGCAGTACATTAATAAGCAGGATTTTGTATTTTCTACTCCGTATTTTGTCTTTTTGGTATATTACAATTGAGTGGTGATTTTACCAAAACAAAAACCAGCATCCAAAATAATTTTTCAATAAAAAGACAAAATTACCCATCATAGAATATCAACACTTTCCATCATCTTTTCACTTCTTGCAGCCACTCCTCCAAACCAGAGGGCTTTGCGCCAGGTTGCCGCCGCAAGGGGAAAAAAAAAAAAAACCAAAAATTTTGAAAAATTGCTTATTTGGAGAGCGATTGTTTTCCTGTTCTCCATTCTAAGAAACAACTGAACAAATTTTATTTTTCCTAGGAGCATCACATGTTTTAATCTAATTGAAACCAATAAATTTGGTATTGAGAAAATCAAATAAATTATTGTAATTTTCAGTACGGTAAAAAAAATCACCGAATTTCAAATCATTTGCCACAAACTAAAAATTTAAAAATACACAGGTGCAAGTTTGCAACAAGCCTCGATTTAGTTTTCCTACCATTTCAAAATAGATCTTTATATTTTCTCTTCTACAAATTGGATGTGTTTTTCAAAAATTAACGTGCCATCTCTTTATTTCTCTGGGCAGAAATGCACATCAAATTAGATGGATTTTCATGATAAGATTATTGGTGATTTGCGTTTGTTAGAAGCGAACGAGGCCTCCTGTAAAGATATGCGTTCCACCATTTTAATAGGGATAACTTTATCTTATTATATTAAAATTGTTTTGGATGCTAAAAGTTATTTTGACGGAATCACTTGACATTACAATTTCTTTGTCTAAAATCATTTTCTTCGTAACTCCAAATCGGTCTATCTATTTCGAGAAACAGAACTATCTCAACAAATTTTTTATGTATTTTGTTTGATAGTTCATAACTTCATAACATTACATGTGATCCACATTAGTCCACGAATTTCCTCACTAGTCAAAGTTCAAAAGACCCAGTTTTTGTTTTCTAAAGAAACTGCTGGGTTGGGACAGTGAACATTCTAACGTCTTATCTTACTTCCGACAAATTAATTCAGCAATTCCAAAGCCATTTGATCAGCAAATGTAGAGAAAGTTTCTGCTCAAAAAAGCAATAATCATTTATCACGAACCCAAAATGGAGGAAGAAAAGGGCCACGAGATTGTGATAGTTGGAGCTGGAATTGGAGGACTTGCTACTGCTCTTGCTCTTCACAGGTTCATCTTGTTCTGCTTTGACTCTTAAGTTGCAAACAATGAATTAAAATTTTAAAACTAGCTCGAAAATGTTAATGATGGTCAAAGTTTAAATAAGTTTATCTTGTTGCTCTTGCCTGCTGAGAAGCCATGAAAAACACAGAATCAGCTTATAATTTGTTCCACTTTTCGGTGGGGGGTGGATGGAATGATCTCAAATGGGTTCTTTGTAGATAATTGTAATGTTTTTTCTAATGATCGAAAGTGAATTGTTGCAAAAGTTGAGAACTTGACCTTAAAAAGGGGCTTTTCTTTTTCGGCCTCTAGATTACTAATGATCAATCATGTGCTTTGTTGCATTGCAGGAAAGGGTTCAAAGATGTGGTAGTTTGTGAAAGATCAGAGACTCTGAGAGTTGAGGGGACAGCAATAGGGATAAATTCGAACGGATGGCGGGCGCTTGATCAGCTTGGTGTTGGAAATCAGCTTCGAGACAAGGCTTTGCTTCTACAAGGGTACAGTAATTGCAATATTGAATTGGTAAATGTGTTGATATCTGATTAATGCAATGAAAAATTATACTCCCTCTGTCCCAAAATTATTTTCCAATTTGAGATTTCACTTTTAGTACAATTTGAACTAAAAATGAAAACCAAATTGGACAATAATTATGGGACAGAGGGAGTAATAGTTACACTATATGTGATAATTAGTGCAAAGTGCAACACTGATCTGGTCAATTCTGTTCCTGTATAAGTTATGTGCTCTTTGTTTCTTCTGAAATACAGAGGAGAAGATGTATGGATGGACCAAGGAAGGGTTCAAAAGTTGCCTTGGCTGTAAGTTCATGTTCTCCTTTTTCGAATTAGTATCCCCTCAATCCCACTTTAATACACTTTGTGGTAAGTAAAGGCGCCTGAAGATAACTACTTAAAAATAACTATGTGCCACCATTAGTTTGTAGTAAACTGGCCTTGGTTTGTGCGTTGGAAAAGGATTTGCATGTTATCAGTCCAATGAGTTGATAGTTGAGAGACAGATGAAGAGTTTCAGTTGTAAATACAATTGTATCTCCAAGAAAATGTTTCTCATTGGGCACATGGAGAGTAGTTGCAAACGATCAGTATCTCAATTCACCTGATCGATTGCTTCTTAATCTTCAGCTACTAACTTATGTCTATACCCATTTAAACCAATTTTTTATAGGAATGGTGAAGTTCGTTGTTTGAAAAGAAGAGACTTAATAGATGCCCTTGCTAATGCTTTGCCACCTAAAACCATACGGTTTGGATGCAATGCAATCGGTGTGAAAATGGACCCTCAAAGTTTATCCCCAGTCCTTCAACTTACTGATGACAAGGCTGTACGAGCTAAGGTACCTTAATTACCTTTGTTATCAGATTATCATATCTCAAAATGAGAAGAATGTAACTGTGGAATGTTGTTAAGTTATATTGCTCGTTAACTAAATCTTCACAGGCTCTGATTGGATGCGACGGATTAAATTCTAAAGTGGCAGATTATCTTGGATTGAAACCTGCATCTTTGTTTACTCTTGGTGGAGTCAGAGGCCTGACAAATTATCCGGATGGTCACTGCTATCCTCCTAAATTTTTTCGGTTGAGAAGTAATCAGGGTGATGCTAGTATGGTTGGACGAATTCCTATCAATGATAAGTTGGTATACTGGTTTGTGGCTGTGAAATTGTCTCGACTAGGTAAATATACTACTATCAACAGTTTTTTGTTTCTCGTTATTTTTGTTCTTCTTTGATTCTTGATTGACAAAGCATATTCATTCAATCAACCCTCAACATATGATTGAGTTGCTAAAATCAGCCAAGTCGGAATAATTCAACCAGGGTGTCCACAGTTATTGTTCAACTTGACTCCTTAATACTTTCTGGGAGCATCTTGAAATTTCTTGTTTTCTTTAATTTTTAAGTTGGAATACCAATCGGTTTCATTCTCAACCATCTTCAAATACGTTGCAGAAGGGAATTTTCCCAATGATCAAGAACTTATCAAACAGGAAACCTTGAAAATGTTAAAGGATTTTCCAGCTGATACAATAGAGATGATAAAGAAAAGTGATACAGACTCATTATCATTCACACGCTTGCGATATCGCCATCCATGGGAGATACTGGTAGGAAAATTTTACAAAGGATCAGTGGCTGTACTTGGGGATGCAATGCATGTTATGGGTCCATTCTTGGGTCAGGGCGGTTCAGCAGCCTTAGAAGATGCGGTGGTTCTTGCTAGAAATATGGGACAGAAGATTAGTTTTCTCGGTAAATCTGAAGGGACGCAACCAGTGAGTAGCCACATGCAGATAGAAGAAGCCTTTGATCAATATGTTAGGGAGAGAAGGAAGAGGATTGTGCAGTTATCATTGCAAACTTACCTCATCGGTGTGATCGTGGGAAGCACATCATCTGCGGCCAAATTTATTGCTATTGTCATACTGGTTATCTGTTTTCGAGATCAAAACGCACATTCCAAATATGATTGTGGCAAGCTATGAAGAAAGTATCAAGACAAAAGAACTATCATTTATATATGTAGCATGTCAAGCATGTCTATTTTTTTCATCTGAGACATCTACTGATAGTCCTGCTGATTCCTTGGTACTGTTGAATTGCCCGAAACAGCCTAAAGTTTAGCATTGACACTATCAAATTGTATGCTTAATGTATAATGTAAAGCTTGCTCACATTGCTCACATTTGTATGAGCTCATTCAGCGAATATTATCTTTACTTGTAAAACTCCTCTTGCCAAATACGCAATTTTTCACATCTGACTGATATCGGGTTGCCAAAATTATTGGCCTATAGTTCTTTTTCTTTTTATAAATTTCGATGATGATTTAGAAGTCCAAGGAAAGATAAAATTAGATGTTAAATGGTTTTCCTCCTTCCCAAAAATATAGTCCACTTTATTATCTATCAGGTCGGGGGCAGCTTCCAAGTTTGAAGGGGCTAATCAGTGAGTTCTCAAGCTCCTCTGTTCAGTTTCTCCACCTCCACTGTAGCAACTACTAATGTTGTCAAGACTTTTTGCACTGCAGTAAACTGTGTATTTGATATCTCTGAATGCTCCCACCATTATTAGTTGCAAGTGAAACTCATGATCAGTTATCGCTTGCATTCTTCCTGTTTAAATATTTTCAATCGAAGAAGTTAGAGAAAGATAGAAACGATTTAACTAAGACAACTTGCTGCCGGTAGTTGTCCTTTTTAAATGTTTTTCGTGCGTAAAGCCTGTTTAGTTTGTTCAACGGAGTGACCCTTTTTGTCAATGGAGTAACAATTTTTGTTCACTATATATTCAACAGATTCCTCTCCGTAGTAATTAACTGCAACAGATTGCACATCCTCCCTTCTGCACATTCTTATATTCCAGAATGACTGGAAGCAGAACTCAGGTACTCAATGCTTCACATATAATCACCAGGCAGGAGGAAATCAATAGCGATATAGAGCAAAAGGGCAGCCCAAAGAAATATCCATCATCATCAGGTGGATGGAGATCAGCATCTTGTATCCTAGGTAATCAATATCTCTAGTTCAGTGGATCTTTTAGCAGTCTAGTATAGAGATTTTAGCTAAGTATATTGTTGGATTTGAATTTAAACAGGTTGAGGAATTCTTGAGAAGTTTGCATATTATGGGGTAGAATCAAATCTTATTACATTTCTGACTGGTCCACTTGAAGAATCTGTGGCAGCAGCAGAATCGCAAGTGAATACATGGATGGGTGTAGTTTCACTAGTTCCAATTATGGGAGCATTGTTGGCCGATTCTTTTGTCGGTTGTTATAGATCGATCATTGTTTTTTCAACTCTCTACATCATGGTAACTAATATATATCATGTTTATGTTTCTGCTTCGAGGTTTGATTTGGGGACTGTACTTATTTTTCTTTTGGAATGACCAAAAATGTCGAATGAATTCCATGGAATTGGCCTTTTAACCCTGTCAGCCACAATCTTTAGTCCAAAAAGCATTTCAAATTCTCAAGAAAGTACTGAATCAGGGCCTCAGACAAAACTCAGATTCCTGTTTTTTGTATCCCTTTATTTAATGGCACTAGCACGGATACAAGCTGTGTATACAAGCATTTGGAGCTGATCAATTTGATGGAAACCATCAACTTCCAAGTAAACGAAGAGCTAAGAGTTCGTTTTTCAACTGGTGGATTTATGGGACGAGTTCAGGTGCTGTATTAGCACACTTGACCTTACATTACATCCAAGACAACATAAGTTGGGGAATCGGTTTCGGGATTCCATGTATTGCTATGATTGTTGGGCTTGTCCTGTTTTTACTTGGAACAGCAATGTATCGATTTCCAGCTGCCAGAGTTGACGACGATGATGAGTGCTCCTGCGAGACGATCAGTCAACGGTTCTTGCAAGTCAGCGGTGATTCGCATAATGTGGTTCATCAATCATTAAACAGCATCATTGGGGGTGAAGAAGATGCTGCCAAGATGCTGCCATCATTCCTGGTCAAAATTTTCAACGCTATAAGTTGTTAACAGAATCTCTCAATATTGAGATCATGTCATTTCCAAAACAAGGCTGATCACACTCATCGATGATGAAATATGTTTGACTATCAAGAATTCCTCGAGTATCTCGTAATCCCCGGGATTGATTGCTTCCAATAGTTACTTAAAATAGTTTAGTCTTATCTTGTAAGGTTGTTGTAAAAAAGCTCTCCTACAAATAACGAGCTACTCATATGAATATTGTATCCAGTCAATCAATCACAATATAGCCTTTAGATATTTATCTCTTTATTTTCTTTATGTTATTCAAATTCTTATTTTCTTCTTGGTATCAGAGCAGGTTCATCCTGCTTCTGTGCCATTCTTTCGAGTATTTTTTTTTTCTTCTTTCAACAAATAAAATCATGATTAGTTCAGTCATAAATATTTACAATTGTGTCATGTTTCAATTCCAAATTCATCCCAAATCACTCTTTTTTTTTCTACTGCTAATCCCAAATTTTTGTTTGATTCTCCCAACGATGTCCACAAAACCTACAAATCATTCAATCAATACAAAACAAAGTCTTCTACCCTAGACTTTGTGTTTTTTTTTTTTTCCTATAAATCAATTTTAGTTGATCAACAAATTTCAGACAACAAGGAAAGTCACCTCTGAGTCAATCCACAAAATCTTCATTATGGCAAAAGTCTTATCTTCTTATAAAAGAAGAGTTTTTGACTCATCATACAAAATCTAACAATAAATTCAAGCCTTTTTTTGTCCAAAACATGGCTAGAATCAATGGACCACAAGAAGGTTTTTCACCGCCGCATGAAGATGAGAAGCCGTCAACACACTCGAAGCAAACTGAGTCTCTAGTCCCGACTCAGTTTAAGGGGGGATGTTAACAGAATCTCTCAAGATCGAGATCATGTCATTTCCAAAACAAGGCTGATCACACTCATCAATGATGAAATATGTTTGGCTATCAAGAATTCCTAGAGTATCTCGTAATCACGGGGATTGATTGCTTCCAATAGTTACTTAAAATAGTTTAACCTTATCTTGTAAGGTTGTTGTACAAAAGCTCTCCGATAAATAACGAGCTACTCATATAAATATTGTATCCAGTCAATCAATCACAATATAGCCTTTAGATATTTCTCTCTTTATTTTCTTTATGTTATTCAAATTCTTATTTTCTTCTTAACTAAGCAACAATATATTAAATGATCAAATCAAAATACTGAACTATATTAGTTGATTCCATGAGATTTTATCTTTGTTATTCTGTCGATGAAGAATACAAGAAACCTGCTCAAGAAGTTCCCGATTCCTATGGCACCATAGTAGAAAGAAAGACCGACACTCTTCAGTTCTTTAGGCACTTGATCATAGAAGAACTCCTGCATTCCAGCCTTGATGAACACGAGTACGATTCCGAACAGTATATATGGAGGAATCAGCCACCAAAAACTCATAGGAACTGTTTCATCCGGGATGTCCACCAGGCCGTGATCTCGAGCTGTTTTCAGTCTTTTCGTCTCAATCAGAGCTGCAATGATCATGTTAAGGATGGATAGTACCATCCCGGTTCCTATTCGCTGTAGCGCTGTTATACCAGATGGATATCTTGTCACCCTTGTTGCAACCAGCACGAAAACCCTGTCGTAGATGGTCATATTGTAGTTGTCACTGGAATAAAGGTTTTGAGCATGGCAACTGGTACATTCAGATCTGGTCTGATGGATTTATTCACTGTTGCCGCTTGCTTGGTGAATAGTGTCGAGATCTAAGCTAAGGCGATAGTGTATGTTAAACAAGTGATCCAAATAGGAAGGATCCTCAAAACTTTCTTCTGTGTCTTTTGATTACTCTTCTTGGAATAGGCATTTGTCACTGGAAATCTGTACAGAATTTGTTGCATTATTAGAATCTGAACAGTAACAAAAACAAGGGAAAATATTTGCACTGCCAATAGTGAATAAAACATGCCTAATGTTTCAATGACAAAACTGGACTGATTTGACAGATCACTTTTCCAAGATTCCAGAGGAGAAAACCGTAGCAATTTGCACTAATTTATTAAAGAAATGGTGAGATGCACATTATATAAATGACCCAAAATGGTAAGGACAGCTGGTTTTCGAGTAACCTGAATCGCGCACACATTGATTACTTCTATTGGATGCTTGCTGGAATTGGTGATGTTGGTTTCACATTTTTTGTCCATTTCTCTAAGTCCCACAATTTCGAGGAGCAGCAAAATGATTTTCAAGAATGCGGCCCTATACCTAGGTCATAGGTTTATATTAGCTCGTTTAACTTGATGTTTATTACGATTAAACATACGATTCTTTCGTCTCATAATTATAGTCATCGTTGCTTCCTACAAATTCTAAAGTTTATGGTTGCTGATCCTAAACCTGAATAAAGGAAGAATGGCCATAATATGTTACATGATTCTCAACAAAAGAAACCAACAAATGCTAAATTGCCAAAAATCAATTTAAGGATAAAAGATCACTTACAACAAATACTGTTACTAATACTACCTACTGTCCTAATAAAAACATCCTCAACCTTATTAATTAATGAATGATATGACAGATTCAATCTCCTAAGAAATATTTCACAACTCGTAGTTAGAATCATCTTCTTCATCAGCACCAGAACTTCCTTCACTGTTTCCATATGCCTTCTTTATGATTGGATTGAAAACAGCTTCCAACTCTGCCATCTTCTCATCATAGTCTACCTTTTCTGCGTTCTGATTCTCATCCATCCAATCAAGCGCACCCTTCAGTGAACTCTCCATGTTTTCCTTCTCATCCGAGCTGATTTTGTTCGTAAGATTGTCATTATCCTTGATGGTGCTCTTAATGTTATATATGTAGCTCTCCAACTTATTTCTCGAATCAACCGTTTCTTTCACCTTTTGATCCTCCTCTTCATGCTCTTGCGCCTCTTGTACCATTCTGTCTATCTCCTCCTTGCTGAGGCCTTTATCGTTGGTGATGGTAATGGTATTCGATTTCTTTGCTGCCTTGTCCATTGCTGTCACTTTTAGTATGCCATTTTCGTCGACATCAAACGTGACTTCAATCTGAGGCACACCCCTTTGAGCAGGAGGAATTCCGGACAAATCAAACTGGCCTAATTCGTGGTTATGCTGGGTCAAGGTCCTTTCGCCTTCGAAAACTCTGATTGACACTGTAGTTTGCTGATCCTGATAAGTTGTGAAAACTTGAGTTCTTCTTGTAGGAACTTTACTGTTTCTAGGGATTAACTTCGTCATAACTCCGCCAACCGTCTCAATTCCAAGACTCAATGGAGTAACATCAAGAAGCACAACTCCTTCAGTTTTTTGGCCGCCATGACCGCCAACTATGGAACCTTGAATCGCAGCTCCATGAGCCACAGCCTCATCTGGATTGATCCCTTTATTCAGTTCTTTCCCATTAAAGAACTCTTTCAACAATTCTTGCACCTTAGGAATCCTTGTACTCCCTCCAACCAACACGACTTCATCGATGTCTTTCTTCTCCAACCGCGAATCTTTTAAGGCCTGCCTTACAGGTCCTAGAGCCTTTTTGAACAAATCAATGTTTAATTCTTCAAACTTGGCCCTTGTTAAGGGTTCAGAGAAGTCGATTCCATCGAAAAGCGACTCGATCTCAACGCGAACTTGGTGCTGGTTACTCAATGCGCGCTTTGCTCTCTCGCATTCCTTCTTAAGTTTCCCAAGCGCCTTCTTATCATCACTGATATCCTTACTGTACTTCTTCTTGATCAGCTTGACGAAATGGTCCATTAATCTGTGATCAAAATCTTCTCCCCCCAAATGAGTATTGCCAGCGGTCGAAAGGACCTCAAAAACGCCTCCATCAAGGGTCAATATGCTAACATCAAAAGTTCCACCACCAAGATCAAACACCAGGATGTTGCTCTCGCCTTCTTTCTTGTCGAGTCCATAGGCGATTGCGGCCGCCGTCGGCTCATTGATGATCCGAACAACATTTAGCCCGGCGATCACGCCGGCGTCCTTCGTTGCCTGTCGCTGTGCATCGTTGAAATAAGCCGGAACGGTGACCACAGCATTCCTGATTTCCTTCCCCAAGTAAGCTTCAGCTGTTTGCTTCATCTTCTTCAGAACCATGGCACTGATTTCTTCAGGGCTCATCAGTTTGGTCTCGCCGTTCTTCAACTTGACATTTATGTAAGGTTTCCCATCTTTATTCACTACCTTAAAAGGCAGCATCTTGATATCTTTCTGAACCTCAGGATCATCAAACCTTTTTTAAATAGACAAAAACAAATTAGTATAAAAAATTTTCAACCAAATTCCTCAAACAGAGAAACAAAAAAAATCAGCAATGTAGATCAACTTACTTCCTTCCAATGAACCTCTTGACATCATAGATTGTAGATTCTGGATTGAGGGCTGCTTGATTCTTGGCAGCTTCCCCAATCAAACGCTCGGAATCAGTAAATCCAACCCATGATGGTGTGATTCGATTCCCTTGGTCGTTTGCTATGATCTCAATGTTGCCGTTTCGAAAAACTCCAACACATGAATATGTTGTCCCAAGATCAATGCCAATTACAGTCCCAAGATTTTCTTTCTGTGCTTGCTCGGCTGCCCACGTCGCCCCAACTAACAGTTCTTCAATTTGAAAAAAAAAAAAAAAAGAGTCAGTGACATAATTCAAGAAACCTTAACGATGGAAAAAAACAGGAATCTTTGAAAATAAGCAGAACAATGTTCAAGAAAAATCTTGATGCAACAACCAGTTTGATTTACGACAGATAAAAACAGGGTAATCATGCAAAAAATCATACTAATCAAACCCATTAAGATTTAAAGCAAACAAAAACAGGGGAAAGAAAACAGAGCAACAGAGTCATAAGATGAAGTAGTAGAACAGAATTACGTACCAGAAACGAAGAGAAGGAGCAGCAAGAAAGCATTGTTCTTTCTGGAAAAACCAGCTCGAAATCCAGCCATGACTGTTATCTTTCTGTTGATCAAAAGATGGATGATGATGCTATGTGTATGAAGAATTGGTGAGGGGAGTGCATGGTATTTATAGTCTTTGCTCTTGGTGATTTTTGGACGGATTTGGATTTCAGGTGGATGATGAATTGATGATGAAAATTTGAAAAATAACGAAATCTGATTGGTTGAAGTACGACAGAGTCAAGTTTCCTTCACTTCCTGATATTTGGTGACGTCAATTCCTTGTCCCCTGCGAATTAGAAAACCAGGCCAACGTGGTCAAATAACCAATATATATATTTATAAATATATCAAAATTAAAAGACAAAAATAATACTAAATAAATAAAGTTAAACCCTCAGCTCAATATAATCTCATGAGTAATAATTTTGCGAATCCTAACTTGAAAGTTGAAACCCGTACGAAGGAAATGAAGATAATCAATAAAACCATGAGATGTTAATCTTAAGAAAATTACTATATAATAAGGCGATCAAAGTCATAAATTATTAATGATAAAAGTCATCTTGGTCTCCATTTTCATATATAATTGCTTACATTTTAAACACGAAGGTCATAACTTTTTGCATATGGTTTCATACGTTTTATTGACATGTTCATATACAATTCTCATAAACATACAACTATGTTTTGATGGACCATGTTGTCTTTTTTTTGGAAAAGGATACCTGTATTAGATTAGGACAGTGTTGTCAGGCTCGAACCAGAGTTTTACTTGGCATTATCCAGGGGTCGATCGACTCGGAGGGGGTCGACTCGGGGCGAATCAGGGGGTCGATTTGGGACGAATCAGGGGGTCGACTTGGGGCGAATCAGTGACGTAATAAATATTAATAAATTATAATTAGATTTGGATAAAATTTTATAAATTATATATATATATATATATTTCTTAGTTTTTAAAGTCAAATTAGTGTTTTATAACTTTGAAATAACTTATGATGGAACAAACTTATGACGTTAATTGAACTATTAGTTTAACTTCTTAAGTGAACCTTAAAAGAAGTCATCAACCTTTAATATATTTTCACTCTAGGTCATCAATTAAATTCATTTGTAACATAGGTTACTTTACTAAAGTTTTAATCTATTTTAGATTATTCTGTTAATTTTGACCTTTAAATAGTGACGGAAATCCATTTTTCACATGTTTTTGGGTTTAGGGGTATTTTTGTCATTTTTTATTTTTTTATTTTTTAATCTTTTAATTTTTTTTTCAAAAATGAATTTGTTTGTCATTTGTATCTTAACTTCTAGATTATAAAAAAAAAATAAGAAATGTAAAAATTAATAATTAAATAATTCAATCAAGTTGAAAAAAATTAAATAACCTAGAAGAAACAACTTGTCTTAGCTAATTCTTTTAGTTTTTCTTTTTATTTAAAATGATAAATTATTAATTTTCATGTTTACTTTAACTCGAATTTTTCTTCTTCATTTCTTAAATTTTTTTAAAAACATTTTATAATCTAGAAGTTAAAATACAAAAGGAAAATAAATTTTTAAAATTTAGAATTATACTACCAGTGTATACAAGTTAGGATGTATAAGAATAAGAATTGTAAAAAAAATAACTTTTTTTAAAAGATTAAAAAATAAAAAATAATAAAATGATAAAAATACCCCTGAACCCAAAAACATGTGAAAAATGGATTTCCGTCACTATTTAACAGCCAAAATTAACAGAATAATCTGAAATGGATTAAAATTTTAGTAAGGTAACCTGTGTTACAAATAAATTTAATTGAGGACCTAGAGTGGAAATATATTAAAGATTGATGTCTTGTTTTAAGGTTCACTCTAACTTCTTTTATAATTAAAAATTACTTAGTTTACTATATACAAGTGACTTTTATTATTAAGAAAATTACAATGCATGATTTATTAATTTATTTGATTATAATTTTTTTATTTAGTTCAAAATAATGGTTAATGCGAAATTTCACATGTGATGTTGGAAGGATGGTTAAATTAAAATTTTATACTTACACATTTTGGAATTAAGATTTTAATATACAAATATAAAAGTTATGGTTCATTTAAGACTTAGAGAATTTAATTGGGGGTAAAAGTTAAAAGTTATATCAAATACATCTCAAAAGTAGAGTTTAATCACATAAATATAAAGTAATGGGTCATTTAAAACATAGAAAATCTAGTTGAGGACTAAAAGTATAAAAATCAGAATAATTACATCTCAAAAGTAGTGCAGAAAAATATTAAAAAATTGAAAATCAGCCCAAAAGTCAAAAACCCGAGTCGACCTGGTTTTGACCGATTTCTGATTTAACTGGAGTTCTGTTTGATTTTGACCGAATCTTAGATAGTCAAATTTATGACCTGCTCGGCCCGGACTAGGGTTTGGTTCCCGGTTAAACCGGTTTAACTGACCGGTCCAAGCCAAGTTTAACAACACTGGATTAGGATAACGTTCCTAGACTATTATATTGCATCCTATAGTAAGCTATATTATGAATTCCATGATATCCGACCTATTGACTTTAATTAGTTCACAGTAGTCAAATATATCTATGAGAGAAATTAAAAGAGGGGTAACCTCTTGAACCTTAATCGGGATTTGTAGTTCCCTAAGATGATTCGTTAAAAATTCACAATTCGTGTGAACTTTGACATTTTTTATTCTAAAATTGGGAGTTTGTTGAAGGGCTGATAGACAGGTCATCATATTCGTTTGCAATGGAGATTGAGCCTGTATGTCCGCCGACCCAACCTGAATTACCATATCAAAGGGGAAGGTGATCTTCCAAGCTCCCGTTGCTTTGTGACTGATAGGGTGGAAGGATCCATCAAAGGAGATTGTGGAAGCATTATGATAAGGGAAAATGATATATATAGTGAATAAAATAGTGACAAAATATAGTGACTCATGTGGATTAATCATGGTCCCTAATTTTTTGCCACTTTCCCGTTGAAGTTTTAGTTTTTTCCCAAAAATTATATTTTTACCCTTGATTAATGACTAGACATGTTTAGTAAGCGTGTGTGGTATATTTATTTTTTCATCTGTCACTATCTAAATTCACCATAATTTTTCACTATGTGCATCATTAGAGTAGAACTTCTAGTTCTTGTGTTGGCCACTATTTTCTGCCTCTGCTGCCTTTTATGGATGGTAAATTCCATCTGGATGATCCGCCAAACTTCAACAGGCGTATTTGTTTGTTGCCTCCAACTTTTTTCATTCTTTTCCTTCCAAATATTCCAGATTATGATAAGGAAGTAGTCTATATCCTCCTTAGATGGATTTGTGTGTATCAAGTAGACAAATCTTTGAAACAAAGGGGAATCTTCTTCTTGCAGGAGTTGGTGAAAAGAGGCAGGAGCCAGATTCCAGATTTCCTTTGATAAAGAGTAGTTGAAGAAGCGATGCAAGCTATCTTCTTCTGTTTGATTGCATCTGGGACAAACATTAGATACTGGAAATCCTCTTTTAACTAGTTCTGATCGAGTAGAAAATGCATTGAGCAAAGCTCTCCAAAAAAAAGTTTTAGTTTTGGCTGAACTGATGAGTTCTAGAGATGTTTCCAAGCTTTAATTTCTAGTGCATTTGGTTGTTGTGGAGATGCATGGCGGCGGTTATTAATGGCTATTTCATAACCACTTTTAATGTGGATCCATTGAAGTTTATCTGGTTGATGGGCTCTATCAATATCAATATGAATGGCAGTGATATGTGGAAGGAAGGCGGGAAAATGTTTTGAAGGAAAGTTGTATTCCAATGACCAGTGGGTTGGATGAAATCCTTAACCTTAAAGTTTGTGTGTGTTGCCAAGATGGAATTTCTGTTTATTGGATTACTGTGATTAGGAATCCAGTCATCGGCAATACTAATATCTTTGCAAGAGATTACCATCTATTTCACATTATTCTGTAGAAGTTCTGCTCCCCAGAGGATGCTTTTGAAACCCCGAGATGAGTTGGTTGCCGGATGAGTTGGTGGAAAGATGTTGTTGGTACAGTATTTTGCTCTGTAAACCTTTGATATCAAGGAATCTGGTATAGACATTATTTTTTATGAATGTTTTGCAAGGAGGGCTTGATTAAATTCCATAGTAGCCTTTAAACCAAGACCTCCATGGAATTGAGACTTCGTAACTTTTTTCAAGGCTCTCCAATGAATCTTATGCTCCTGTAAATCACCTTTCCAATCAAAATTTCCTATAATACTATTTGCCTTTTGAAGTGTAGAGGCTGGCAGTTTAAAAACCCCATAGGATATACAAGCATGGAGGACAATGTAGATTTTGCCAGAGTAATGCGTCCAGATAAAGATAATAACCTTGTTTTCCAATCTGCAAACTTAGCTGATAGTTTGGCAGTGAACTGACAAAAAATATCCTTCTTTTTCTCATTAAAATCCAAACTAACTCCCAAATATTTACTTTGGAACTGTCCTTGAGGAATTTTGAGTGTGGAATGCAAGAATGATTTCATAGATGGTGAAGCATTGGGACTGCTTAGTATCAATGATTTATTGAAGTTGACCTTCTAACCAGAGAATGTTGTGTATAGTTCTATCAATCCCGACAGTGCTAGTATAGCTTCCTCCGAACATTCCACAAAAAATAAATTATCATCCGCATACATGAGATGACTTATTTTGGGAGCATTCCGACTAATCTTGACACCCAATCCCGGAAAGGAATGTATTTCTATCTTGATCGCAGAAGAAAGTACCTGTTGACATAGGATAAACAAATAGGGTGGAAGAGGACAATCTTGACGTAATCCCTTATTTGGTGAGAAGAATGGAAGCCCTTCACCATTTAGCTCGATCGAATAGGTGACCGTTGATACACAATGCATGATTAAGGCAATATGGTTAGGTGGAAATTTTTCCTTAATGAGAACTTGTTGTAAGAATGGCCAGGAGACTCGATCATACGCCTTGCTTATATCCAATTTATGGCAGCCAAACCTAGTGCACCATCTTTCTTCCGTATATGTTCTACAACTTCATGAGCCAACAGTATGTTCTCAATGATGTTCCAACCCGAGACAAAACTAATTTGGTTTTCATCAATTAGATCATTTATCATTGGTTTGAGACGATTGGCAATCATCTTGGTGATGATTTTGTATTTGACATTGCATAAACTAATTGGACGGAAGTCATTTGGTGTAACTGATTTTTTATTCTTTGGAATGAGTACCAATTGAGTCTGATTCCATTCTGGGGGAAGGTTTGAGAAGTCATTGCCTCAAGGATTGTTTGTGAGACATCATCATCAATGGTACCTTAATATTTTTGGTAAAAACCCATTGGAATTCCATCAGGTCTTGGGGATTTCCAAGAAGACATTTGCTGGATTGCTGCCCAAACTTCCTGTCTGGAAAAAGGTCTTGCTAGAGTTGCCACTTGATCCTGAGAGACTACCTCATCAACATTGTTGAGTAGGCCATGAAAGTATGGAGAATGTTCATCATATATTTGAGGATCGGTAGAGGTGTAAATCCCTGAGAAGTGTTCCATAAGCAGGTCACCTAACTGATTTCCATTCTGGACCCAGATTCCTTTAGAATTCTGTAATTCTATGATCCAATTGTTGACTTTTTTTCTTGCTGCCCATTTATGATAGAATTTGGAATTGCGATCATCTTGAAGTGACCAAGACAGTTTAGCTCGTTTTTTCAGTAGTCTTGTTGATAATTCAATGCATCTTCAAGATTAGCTCTTTGTTCTACTAACAGTTGGTTAAGACTACCATTTGATCTGTCTTGTTCCCATAGCTATTGGGTGGTCATGAGTTGAGCAGACATCTTCTTCACATAAGTATCAATCTAACCAAATCCTTCTTTACTCCATCTATGAAGATTACCAAGGCTCTTGTCCATTTTAAAGGACAATACTTTTGGTTTACTATCAATCTGAAGAGGTGGCACAGTCCATGCTTGTCCCACTAACTCATTTGATTGTAAATAGGTTGACCAGAATTGTTCAATACGGATTTTAGGCTTTCTTTTCTTTAGACCTTTAAGCTCAATGACCAGAGGTCCATGACCAGAGTGTAAAATTGGCAGTTTTTGAATTATATCAGAGCCAAGATAATCTAACCATCGTGGATTTGCAAAGGCACGATCCAGACGCTCAAATATTGTGTCATTACCTTGTCTTTTGTTAGACCAGGTAAACCAGCAACCTAGATGTCGCAATTCATCAAGCTCATTGGTGATCAGAAGTTTTCGAAGTGGTCTTGTATCCGTCTCTCTAACTTGATGACCACTGTGCTTATCTTCCTGGTTAACCACTTGGTTAAAGTCTCCTAAAATAATACAAGGGAGATATAAAGCAGAAATAATGTTGTTTAGCTGATTCCAAAAGTCGGTTCGACCTTGCGCAGATGGCAAACCATATAAAAAGACAGCCACCCAATCAAAACCTGTTGCCTCAGTAACTTTGGCAACAATGAAGTTAGATGATTGGGATAAAACTGTGAGCTGAACACGATCACACCAAAAGAGGGCTAATCCACCACTATGCCCTACTGAATCCACTACTAGAGAGTTTTTAAAAACAGAAGCCTGTTGCGAGGCTGAAACCAACAAACTACTAGTTTTTTTCTCCATCAGGAATAGGATATTAGGCTTATACTGATTAACTACTCTACTTATTACATGCTTTGTGGAGGCATTGTTCATGCCTCGACAATTCCAGGAGAGGATACTCATTTCTTCAAAGGCAGTTGTTCTGGTTCAACCACCGCAATACCATTGAGAGAGTTGGAATCTTGAGCTTGATTCTGGACCTGGAGGCTGCATGTAAAGCCATTAAAAGCTGCAAGACTGAATCTTCAGAATGACATTTCCTGCTATCAGTCTGATCAACAGTTTCTAAATCTGATTCATCATCATCCTCACTTTCTACCTTCATGTACCATCCCCCTTGTGAATTGGCTTTGTTCTCTATCTGAGCTTTAATAGTTGCTGAAAACCTGGGGCGAGCTGGAATATCTGTATCTGATTGAGCTTTCCTGATCTTCATACAGAAGGAACTTTCACTTGATTGAGAGTCAGAAACTGCATCAGCTGCCCTTGAGCTACCTTTCTTGGTCTTTCCCTGTTTGTGGGCTTTGGCTTTCTGAACTCTTTTGGATCTGCATTTCAGAGAAGCAATAGCAGAACCTATCTTGACAGAATTGGCAGCAGAGCCTCCTTCATCAGAGGAAGCAAAATATGAGTGATCCCTTTCTAACTAACCTATTACAAAATCATCTAGCCTAGCAAGGGAATGACTAATATTGTGTATAGATGGAGGGGACATAGTACTAGTATCTGAATCAGAGAATTCAGCAGAGATGAAAGCACAAAAGACATTATCAGGAGAACTAACATCAAGGGGTGGGAAATCAGGGACATTTGGAACAAAAGTAGAGGGCACAACAGAGGCCCCAGTGGAACTACCATACATGCTATCATTTAAACCATCTAAAGGAAAAGATTCTAGGATCAGATAAAAAGAGCTTGGCATAAAAGTACCAGAAGATTCCCTTTGAGACTAGATCCATCATAATTAAAGTGAGAAGGGGAGGAATGAAAACTACCTTCATCATCTGAGATCATTAGGTTCTGATCATCCTCCTCCCTGCTGCTGGTGCTGCCATCCTATTTGGGTCATGGTATCCATTGGGATACACTTGTCTTAGAAAAAGAGCCAAATTAGAATCATCATTATTTGTAGGTGGATTGGAAGGGCTTTGATGTCCGTTAGATGGCGGATTCTGGTCCCCATTTTGGTGATTATCATCATCATCAACAAAATCGTCATTTGCATCATCATCATTCCCGTCTGGGTTGTGAGGAGATTGCCACATCTATACATCAGGCTCATCTAACTTAGTAATGGTGAAACCATCCTGAATAAGATGTTCCGGCACTGATTCATAACAGTCTCTCATCTGCAAATATTTATATGTACGCATCCTGGTATACCTCTTTTCGTATGGCCTTATGATCTCATAGAGGCCAAGAACAAGGGCCGATTTTACATCAATTAGTAGTGGTGAGTTCTCTCTAATGGCCTTCTGAAGGAAGTAATTATCCAGGAATGCTTCCAATTCAGTATTTGAGGCCATGTAGCATCTCTGACAGGGGTGACAAAGGCTTCCACATCGTTTGCAAAATTTATGCACATTTTCAAAACGACAACTGATTTTTGCATGCCTTCCGTTCCTTTTAGTGATATGAAAATAAGGAGTCAGGGGATCTTGTGGTTTTATCCATACCTTGGCAAGGACATAGGTGGCCTTACGGAGGAAAACGCAGTCCTTCTTGACAAGGGCTACTTCTCCCACCCTTTTTGCTAGATCTCTTGCACCAGCATAATTCAGTAAAGTGATTGGCACACCATACATTCTCACCCAGACACTCAGCTTGTCAATCCAAATGTTGCCTAAGGCCAAATCTTTGTGATCATAGCATCTGCAAAGTACCAGTAAGCCACCTTCGACTGCATAAGGCCCATTATCCAGGATGGTGAGAAGATCTTTGCAGCTATGGAACTTGATGATGAAGAGGTTCCTATCACGCTGAAGGATGCGGGCGTTCATGGTATTCATTGATATAGCTTTGCATGCAGACATCATCAAATTCCATGTCATCAAAAAGATAGCCCAACAAAGAAAGCTGTAGATTTTGTCTCGAGAGCCATGTGTGGTCATCTGTGATATGCATGTTAGTAGTACGCATATGAGAAGTGGTGATAAGTTCAGAATGAGCATCAATTCCTAGCTGGAAGTCATATATTTCTTTAGAGAACTTAGATCCAGTAACAGGCATGGCTGTAACTGAATCTTCCGCCATTGCATGGCGATGACTCATTGTTTTCAAGTAGATCTGGAAGCTATGAATGATTTTGAAAAGGAAGGTAATGAAATCTGGCAACTATGGAGCTGTAAAATTGAGAATGTCGAGAGGAATTCTTTGCAGTAGTAAAGTAGAGGGATATTAATAACAAAAAAAAAAACAAAACAAGGGATTCTGTGGTTTCCCAGGAGGGGATATTGACTGGATCAAGTAGAATAAACGTGGGTATATTAAAGGATTATGGTAAAGAAAAGTCCAGAAAAGATTTTGAGAATACCATAAATACTTGGAAAGTAAAAAGGACAGAAAAGTGGCTGAAAATAAGTTGGAAAGGTAAATTTGGGAAAGGAGACAAATGATTCACCGTAATATAGGGTGAAGACAAGAATTTAAAATTCAAAAGTGGAGTTTGTTGAACTTGTCACCAGCATGCATGCGAAACAAATGGCAAAAGGTGCAGTTAATTTTGCCAAGGCGATTAACTTTTGCAAAGGATAATTAGATTAGAATCCAAGACATGATTTATTGGTCGGATTAAGAAAACCAAATGTTATATGTGATTATCTTCTTAGTTGTGTTATAGGAAAAGGTTTTTTTGGCCTTTCTCACTTGGAGAAAGAGAGAATTTTTTTCTCACTTGGGTTTTCGGGAGAGAAGGGTATCTCTCTTTGGTGATGGACCATGTTGTCAAATGAAGTGATTGCCAGTAACACGGGGAAGAGAAAGTTGGGGGTTGCCTGGTTCAAATGGTGAGATATGATAGAAATTAGATTTGATAGTATAATTTCTATGACATTTTTAAAAGTGTATCATACCCATTTATAGTGCTTGGTTAGAGAAGAAATGGGAATGAAAAGTGTTATAAAATGTCAATTTTATTCCTAACATAAAATCACCGAAAAAAATAAAAATAAAAATCAGCAGCTCAATCTAAGTAATCTTATCAATTTGGTGATTTTTTATAAAATCACCAAAAAAAAAAAAACAAAATAATCAGCAGCTCAATCCAAGTAATCTTATCAATTTGTAGGTTCGATTAATTTCTATGTTCTGAAATTTTGGACATTTATTAACAAAAGGATACTTTAGATCTGAACCCCCTACAATAAACTATAGTTAGATTCGAGGAAAAAGGAGGGGAGAAGAGAGATTTGGAGTTTGCTAAAGCAGTAAATCTAATGGTATTCTTGGAGCAAAATTGAACGATTGCAACGGTACACAGAAAAGACCAAAACCACAGGGTTGAATAGAAGTGTGAAGGGATGATGATTTCTTTGAGCAAGGTTGTAAGGTATAGTCTTTTCCTGTTAGTCCTATTGATTTAAGTAACTAATTAGATATGTGAAAATGGAGGAATGGGAAAGAGAGGGAGAGCTAAAGGGTGTTGGTGGAAGGAGATAAATTATGGTGAGGATAAAGGGGTCAAAAAATAGAATACATAAAGATAGGTTACATCATATATACCTTGGCTGGGATTGGAATTCTTGGAATGAATAACAATTTTAGTAGACCCATAAAATGAACCAAGCATGAAAAGTTTCTATCAAATCCATAGCCTTTGTTTCAACTTTCAAACCCCTCCAAACCCTCAAATTAGGCATTGCCTTGCTTTCTTTCTTTTTTTTTTTTATCCCCAAGTACTTCCTTAACATAACAAATAATCATCATATTTATTTATAAATGTACTGTTGGACATAATTAATGAAGTGAATTTTCTCTTCCTTCTTTCTATTTCTAGAGAAAAAAAGAAATGTTTGGAAGGGAAAAAAAAATTTAAGTCAATGAACAATGGTTTGGTTTAAATGATAAAGGTGAATTTAACTATAAGTTGGATTCGAACACTCATATAGCATGCAACATTCTTGTTATGAGAACTTTGTCTGGAAATTTCAGTTCGCTTATTCTATAATCATTGAAATTTAAAAACAGATCACTAGAATTGTGCAAAATATTAGAGTATTATTCTATAATCATAATTATTATTTTTTATAATACAATTGTAATCTGCAAAAGTATATGGCTGCCTGCTCCCAAGAAGCAGTGAGAATCTGCGAGGCCTTTACTGGAGAATTGGGTATTCTAGTAGAACTGAACCTAAAAGTTATTGGATTATAGCGATGGACTGCATCAGTTGTTTTCCACTATATTCCAAGAGCAAGTTCATTGACTCCATTGCATAAATAAAACTTTCAAAAAGTTCTCTTTTTGTGTGGTTAAAAATTAGTTCAAATTAACATGATCATAGATTAATGGTTTCAGAATAGTATCATAAATACTTCCCTAAGAGTAGTAGAAATTAAATTAATCCCAAATTAATTAAGCTGGTTAGCCGCATTTTCCTTTATGACGTATTCCTTCTGTCTCAAAATATAAGTCATTTTAAACTTCTAACGTACATTAAAGAAATAAATTATCCAGCGATTAATTTATGTCTCAAATATCTTTTATAATACCCATCAAATATATGTAAACAAAGTTGTACTAAAATTCTAGAACAACCTATATGTTGAAAAAATAATAATACATACAGGAATACTTTTACAAGAAAAAATGATAATGAATGACCTTATATATTCATTTTCAATACTTTTTATTTGTGATTTCGCATTTAAATTTAAAAGATAGCTTAAATATCTTACATATCATTTCTTGTAAATTTTCCTTATAATAATTTTTTTAGCATTTTCTAACATTTCTCTGAATCTCAAACTATCTATATTTGAAATGAATGGAGTAGCTTACAAATGTGTGTAGCTAATTTGTTGGTGATTACTTTATCACAAATTCTATGTACATATAGTCACATTGATTTTTCAAACAAGGAATTTTTGTCCAAAGTGATTGTAATCTGCTGATGTTTTTTCCTGGTATTTACTTTAGTGTCAGAAGCCAGCACAAAGAAGAACAAAAATACTCTTTACGGCCCCTTTGCTTTTGTTTGCCATTGAATGGAAAATTGCCTAATTTTGGCTAATTTGCAGCGTTAGGACAATTTAGGTTTTGTCGCTTCATTGGCTATTACACTAATAAAATGAATTCTGCGCTTGTCTTGGAGCCGTCTCAACTCTCAAGTCTTTTGGCTTATTTACTAATTTTGTTACTTCTTACCCTTCGAGAATATTTTATTTCTCGAAAAAAATAATAGAGGGCTCAAAATTCCACTTTGAGCACTAGGTATAATATGTTTGTTTTTTAAATTTTACTTTTTTCCTTTCATAAAAATATTTCATTTTATTAAACCGAACAATATTATAAAATGAATTATTTTTTTGATACAGGACATCACTTGTTTTTAACCCAATACATTTGGCAGTTGGCACCAATAATTACTTCAACAATTTCTTTATAAAACTTAAATGCTAAATATTTTATATCTAGTTGTTGCAAAGATTACTATATTCCCGGTTGAGAAGTCGCTATTATAACCAGTCAATAGTTTGAAGCTACGCAAAATTCAAACCGGAATTGCCACCTCACAACGCCAAAAAAGGAAAAGAAAAAAAGAAAGAAATAAAACTTGATTATATCAAATGTTAAGAAGTTCATATATGATATATCCCTTAAAGTCACTCCATTTATTCCTTCGGTCTTAAAGGATGTCCACCAATGATCATGTGTTAATTTATCAACTCTTTAAAACATCGTCTGAAAACATAATCTGTAGATTTATTAAAACGGTTGAATTGAAACTTAGATGTTAAGGTATTGAGCCAGTGTTTTATCAAATCTCTTTTTCCGTCCTAATTATAAAGTACTCCCTCCATTCACAAATAGATGTCGCTGGAGAGATTTCACAAAGTTTAAGGAGGTAATAATTATCTTGTTAAAATACTATAATACCCTCATTTATTCTTAATTCAATTATAGTCCTAATAAAATTCACTTCTAATACAATTCTACATTAAACATCACAACAATTTCCAATGTAAGGGTAATATTGGAAAAAATTGACAAAATATGCCTCGATTTGTGAGAACGACATCTATTTTGGAATATTTGGGTTTTCCTCCAACGACATCTATTTGTGAATGGAGGGAGTATAAATTATCACTAAATTTTGTCGAAATTTGTATTTTATAGATAGCACCAGTAGGAGCATTTGATAAGGCCGTCCCAATGTATGAAATTTTAATTTATGTATTGGTTCGTTGAAAAATCGATGATCTGAGACTTAATTACTGAACAACCTTGGGCATGCTTATAGCTAGGTTGTGGTCCTAAACAAACCTTATCTTGTTTTCTGTGCTTAATTAGCATTAGCTGTTAGTTAAAAGGCAATATAGCGATCCAATTGTCCAATGTACTTGTGTTCTAACAATTTTAATTAATCATTTGCGCAAATATTCTCTAGTAATCAATGTAGTACTTGTGAAATAAGTTAACGTGCACAAAGACGAAAAAATTCATAATTTAATTAGGTGGGATGTTGGTGCAACCAATGATGATTCGAGTACACACATGTAAATTAGATATTCACAACTGGCAATTGGACATTGTTTGATTGGCCAGCAACTCCTTAATCAACGGCATTTAATTCCAGCTATTAAATGTTTGTTCTTTATTTATCAAAAAATCTATTCACTCCGCCTATTCCAAAATGACAGTTCGGTTCGTTATACTAACATTGAAAAATATTACCTCCGATTTATTTTATCTGTCGTTTTAGAGTTTGCACAACTATAACCATTATTTTGGGATGATAGGAATATAAGATTTATGTAACATTCTTATCCTATATTCTCAAAAAGTAACTTAATATCAAACATTTTCGAAAAAAGAAATTAATATTAAAAAAAAAAAGAACTTCCATCAATCATCTAAAAACTCATTGGTGTTTGGTTTATGATGTGATTATACATGAATTTCATATATTGATGATTTGGTTTAGTCGGTTGAGATAATCTCTTAGAGACAAACACACAATATTCACGGAATTTTAAGTTATTGATGATTTGGTTCAGCGAATCAGTGCGCTAGAGTAAAATCATCTGCGACGCAATAGGGCGCGTGTACATGATATTTATAGTGGGGAAAAGATCGAATAATACAAATTCCAGGAAGAAAGGT